AGGGGTGTGGCTGCCGTCTGATTGTCAAGTAGTGTCTTGAATCTGTAGTGTAGTGTCTTGAATCTGTAGTGTAGTGTCTTGAATCTGTAGTGTAGTGTCTTGAATCTGTAGTGTAGTGTCTTGAATCTGTAGTGTAGTGTCTTGAATCTGTAGTGAAGGGATTAAGCTCAGCCCTAGTCGTCTTTGTGATACCAAAACTGAGTTGTTTATGATAATCAACATGTGATCGTTTATATTCTTGTTTGCACTCTTGAAAAAATCCTGATGACTTTATGGATCCCAGCATCTTTGGTGGTTTATGCTTAAAGAGAAGGATGCTGACAAAAGAGTATTAGAAGTTAAGTGACCTTTTATTTGTTGTTTGCCTAGAAGGTCGTTAGTCATAAATCGCAAACTTCATGGTAATCCCTGGTAATCCATTATCATAAGCCTTTGCTTCGTTTTGGTTTGCAGCTATCGGGAGCTTAGATTTTTCTGCGATATAGAAAGAACGTAGTTATGTTTATACACACACACACACACACCAAAACCAGGCGTTCGATTCTTCCTTCAATTGGAAGCTTCAATGTGATTCTTGGCTGCATAGAAGGCAAGAGTGAGTTTACTTCAACCAGTTGCCGTCAGATTGCCGCAAAACTGACACTACTTCTAAGCAATCCAGTGCGTTTTAGTCCCTTTTCTGCCAAGGATGGCGCTGACTGCTGTGATTGCAAAACCCAGACAACAGAACTAACTGCTCAAGCACATGGCACTTCGCATAACTAGCTTGTTCAATAAATTTGACAGGGCCCAGATAATACAGAATCAGAAGGAAAAAATCGTTGTCCGTCATTTTCCTTCTATCAACAATAATCTCTGGCCCTGCTCCTTTTCATACGTTTTTGCGTCTCTACAACATCAACTTAACAGGAGGAAAAGGTCATCATTTTCAGCAAAACTTCTCGAGGATTAGTTTTCTCCTTGAGAAGACTTGTGCGTGGCCACTAAGCAAGTTTACCAGAAAAAACCAAAGGTAAATTTAGCAGTTACAAACTCTAATCCCATGGGGCTGACAATAACACTGAACAGTTACAAAAACTTTGTGCATCCAAATCCTATTTGCATTCAGTAAAAACACTGTCAAAACGAGGGGGCAGAAAAAGGATTAATGAGGTGAAAACAGCTATAAAACAAAACCTTAATTCAATCGATTAGTGTGCCAAGACAAGACCCTTCATCAATTCAACAACTTGCACACAAAGCAAACGCAAGAACCAGAAGAAAAGGGCACTGAACTGTAATCCGATTCATTAACAAGCTACTCAGCAATCTATAACCCATGGCCACCAAAAAACTTCAAACTTAGACCTAGCCCCCTTATCAACATCATATTTAAAAACTACTGCTATTTTATATATATTCCTTATTATGAAATTCCACCAATTTTTCCCCTAAACAATCTACACAAGCAAAACCCTAAAAAATAAAATTACCATCAAGCCCGAGTTCTGATCAACCATAGAAACTATGAAGTTGAAAACCATTATTCCATCATTCATCTAGTCCCATTGACAAAGAAAAAAGAAAAAAAGGTTCAGCAAGATCATAGCCAAAAGTATCAAAATGAAAACCCATATACGAAAAACACCGTTAATCAAAAACCAAATCCTAATTCATTCCATTAAAAGCACCAATATCACACATCTCCATTCCATACTTATTTTTCTCTAAAACCCTGCATATACAAATAAAACCAAAAACCCTAATGAAAATGAAAATTGTTCAAAACAAGTCTAAATATTTCATCTTTTTTTCATAAAGAAGCAAACTCCGATTGATTAGTCCTCATCAACACCTTCATAAGCCCAAGCATGTTCTTGACGAAGCGCAGCCTCTTCTTCAGCAGTAAAATCGTTGTCAATCCCAAAGAAGCCTCTCACATATTCAACACTCTTGTTCTCAATCCTATCAGCAACAGCCTGGTTAAGCACATCAAGCAAATCTTTAATCTCCAAATAGTTAGCCACCGGAATCATATCTACCAGATCTTTGTCACTCTTTTCTCTAAGAAACTCCGAGTGGTACTTTTTCTTCTGCACTTCATCTGGGTTTGCTTTAAACTTTATTTGCTCCTTGCAGAACTCAATAACTTGGGACAATGGCTTGGCCGTCACATTAGGGAGTGGCACAGTGTCGGTCGATGACGGTGAGTCTTCAAAGAAAGATTTCACAGTCGCAAATTCCATGGCTACAGCTTCTTCTACTTCAAAGATCTGGTTATCAGAGCTTCTGAGGGTGATTTTCTTGGTGGGTCTGGCTGTTTCAGTGTCTGGTTGGGGTGAAAGCTGGGTGTTCTCGGTCGTCAGGGTGGGACTATCGGTCGACGAAGACATCGTCGATCGAGGAAGAGAATCAGAAAACACAGAACAACAAGGCAGATGAAAAATAACAAAAAGCCTCGAAGGTATCTTTCTTCTTTCTTTTTTGACCTTAAGCGTGCGGTTGTCTATCAAGGGTAGAGAGCGATTTATAAGGGTTTAAGAGTGTGTAAAGTGACAGAATTGGCCTCATGAACTCCTTCTTGCTGGTGCTGGATTCTTATGGTAACGGAAATAAAGAGTTAAATGCTAGTTTCAGTTCGATTTCATCACATTTAATTACCTTTTTTTTTTTCATTAAATTCGCTCTCTTCATTTTTTATTTTTTATTTTTAATAGAATACAACCAGACAACTCATTCCTGCTATCCAACGGTTGCGGCAAAAATTATTTTTTATTAAAATAATATTATTAAAACAATTTAATTTTAAATAAAAAATTATTATGTATGTTTAATTAAATAAACTTAAAATTATATAAAAAAAATATTATAAAGAAATGTTAATACAAGTTAAAAATTAAATAAAAAATTGAGTGACAGAAGCATATTAAAATATTGAGGAATTATTCAAATCTGTTTATCTAATTATATTTCAATAATTTTTTATATGAAAATTAATAATTTAAATTCTACAAAATATGATAATTCTCCAGTATAATCCTTATCTTCTCCTTACTAATATATTTTTCTCAGCAAAAAAAAATAAAATAAAATTGTTTATTAAGCATTTCATATGGAGTCTTTGTTTTTTGTTTTTTTTTTTTGAAGAAAGATCATCATGTGGAGTGCAAATAAGAAATGGTGGGAATGATAAGAGTTGGATTTTCGAAACACTAAGCGGAAATGATAATTGAAAATTTTTTCGAGAGTTAAATAACTTTCTTGAACAATTTAAAATCGTTTGAGGTTTAGCGAAAACTTTCTGTGTTATCATATCTTCTTCCATATTTTGAAACCAACGGCGGCGGTTTATCTCTGTGTTTATTTCTAACCGAAAAATGCATTTTGGCTGGTGTGCTTCTGGGTTTTCGCTCCTATGTCATCGCGCTTTAAAGTTTATCGAAGTGATCTACGGGATTTCTCCTCTTCTCTGAATTTGTTTCAATGACAAGGAGATGCTTTTCTCTGCAGCACATGCCCTTGCCAAGGTCTTCCGCCCTTCAAACCTGGTGAGAAGGTATGTTGCGGCATAAGTTTCTCCATCTCTCCCTCCCGTCGGCTATAATATACGCAGTCAAGTTCATGTCTTCTTGCAGGTATCACTACCTGGGAACTTTCTTATAGGAGATATTTGGACATCAGGAAGTTAGAGTTGAATTATATCTTTTGGAGTCGGGATTTGTAGTTTGGTCTCGGGATGACCTGGAATGGTGGATATTTTCAGATGAAGGGATCAGACATCCCGAATTCTTTCTCTTTATTTTTTCTTGGGTGTATGGGGAAGGAGAGATCTTATCGTAGTTTTGTTCGACATATGGAAGGAAGAGGCAGAAATGAGGCTGCTCGTTGATTGGTGCCATATATGTGCCTGTAACGTCGCTTGTATCTTAAGTCTGGAAGAATATGTCTCGCATGATGTGATGTTTCTGAATCACGAATAAAGTTTTCAGTCGTTCTATCTTTATATAAAGATTCCAGTGCACCTGAGAAGCTTGAAATTCTTTATTCAATCTGTTATTTGAAGAACAGGATGAGCCTCGATACTGTGTGAGCCTTGCTCTTCATATGTCAATAGCCAAGTAAATTCCAGGGGCAAAAGAAAAAGGAACCTTGTTACTGAAACGCAACACAACCACATAGATGTCCGTTGTTTTAGCATTTGTTCGAGAATAAAAAACTCGACTCATTCAAGGTCACAAGAACTAACCACAGAGGGCACAGATGATCTTGTTTCGAGTCCTTTCCCCGACTCCATTATAAATCAGAAAACAACAGATGATAATTCTTCCCTTTGATTTCATCTCACAAAAAGAGACTCTAGTGACAGGTCTCAGTTGGTGAAGTTTCATGATATACCAAGTAAATTGCCGTAGAAGTAATCTGTGTTTCAGCAGCAATGGTTCATAGTTAATCTACATTTTTCTATCAGGAGACCAGTAACTCAATACCAGCAATGAACAAAGGCAATGAATAGATCCATCCTCCCATTATATTCCGAGCTAAGCACATGGCACAACACATTCAATGCTCGTTGACAACATAAAGGTATATATTTCTCACAAATTTTCCTTCTTCAGCTCCAGGAGTATAGACCACCTCTTATCAATAGAAGCTGCTTTCTGTCCACCGATATCTGAGAATCAAAACAGAAAATTGCTTCAGCAACTCAACCTACAGTCATTCTGTTACTGTATTGGCGAAAGTTCATCAGGAACACTCACGTATCAATTTGGGTTTGGATTTCTCGCACGATTCTGAGCAAGTATCCTGCAGGATATAAACTTGGTGAGTAGGAGAGGACTTTTAATCAGGATTAGTTTTTTCATAATCATTTTTCAACACATAAATCCCTTTGTTTTGAAGTAAGTGTATTGTTCATACTTTGACTGAGGTGGTAAGCCTTATTGTGTCTTGTATCAACGAGTCAAGATCAGCTTCATATCCAGGCTTCACGTATATAACCTGCACGATCAATTATGTTAATTACATGTCTGAGAGAGAAGGTACCGTGGGGGTGGGGGGAGAGAGGTTTAAGGGACTTAATGATGGGTCGTCGCCACCAATGTCAGGCAGATGAACTTCACGAGTGGCTCTTGATGGAAGAACCCAAACATTGAAGGTTGTATCAATCTGGCAAGAAAATAAGAAAAAAAAGGTCCACTGGCATTACATTCTATAACCGATTCAATAATGAGTAAGAAACAGCTAAATATTGCACAACTTGACTAGTAAGTAATTCTTGAAGACCAATTCAATATTAACGAATTGCTACAACATAGTTCTTTAAAATGACAGACCTTTCTACAGTATGGGGAAAAACAGTTGCTGCATTTTCTTGTGAAAGATGTGATGATCCTTCCATCCACTGAGAAACCAAAACCAGCATGCTGGTTAAAAATAGAAAGAAAACTATTAGATGCAATCTACTTTGTCCTTGTCTCTTTTTTTTGTTTTTTGTTTTTTGCTGATGGAGACTCAAATTGCATCATGCAACCAATTGGGGTGTTTCTGTCATTTTGATATACTTTCTTGCTGCCAAATGATCCTAAACTTGTTATAACTTGCATTTCAACTTCAGGTCACCATGCTTGGTTAAGAGAATATGAAAGGGAATGGATTTGATGGAATGACCTTTTGAACGGAGAGATTAACAGAAACCTCAGCATCTTTTTGTTCATCTTCGATCAAGTCTTCTAACTTCAGGTCTTGAAGAGACAGTAGGTAGTCAGAAGTCCATTTCCCTTGCCATCTCCCATCTGAGGTTGATATTGTAACCAAACGGCGGGGAGCCCTGGAATTTCTCTTGCTTATCTGCCATTTGGCTCAACAACAAAATCATTAAGTCATTTTCATTGCTGAACCAGTGACAATAACAAAACGGTTTCAAACAATTTGCAAGTCCCGTGGTATATAGGGTTCAAGTACAAGTTTTGTGATTTTTATCCAGGAATCGAAGAGGAAAATAAAAATAAATAAATAAACTAGAGTCCAATTACTACAAGCATCCATGTCAATTGATTAATCCCCAGATAAATATAAGAAAGAGACTAGGGATAAGGCGATAGTAAGCATGAAACAAGTTATTTTCAGAAGAAGATTGACTAGAATTAAAGTGTTGTAAGGGGGTTGTCTTTCACGGTACCGGCGGGAAGTCATTTCTTTTTGAAGCTGCTATGATTTTGGATCTCTGAAACGTCAACCTTTGTGATCTTCTTGTGTTCGATGGATAGATGGTTGTAAATTCTTTGATGCTTTGAGCAGATACCAAATGGCCAGCTTCTGACATCCTCACTCTTCCTCCCTGTCTCCTCTAATACACCAGCACATTTGTAGTGGAAGTATAGAGTATATGATATAACCACAACAACCTTATCTGCGCAAGTGGTTGGCAATTAGACAGCAAAGAAGGATGTTTTGTGCTGGGTCCACGGTGCTTTTTCTTCTTGGCTGAGTGGATATTCCTCGTAAAAAACTATATTGTAAATTTTTGCTGAATATGTTGTAATTCTTTTTTATCAACGCCTGATGTTATCCAGTCTAGAATTAGCTCCATTGGTCTAATAGGTGATTTTGATAATGATAATGGATTCACCGAGTCCAATTCTGCTCATTAAGATTTATTTTTTCGTCTTCATTTTCTGATTCAATCTTTGCTGTGATGTAACATGAAAGTAGTAACACTACAATTGTCTACGGAACGTTAGGGGTAGATGGAACCGATACCCGTGCCCGGGTAAAGGACAACGGCCTGTAGACCAAGAAAAGCAGGTTAAGGATAAACGGCAATTCTGATAATGGTTTACATTAAACATGGAAATGGCAAATAAACTAAGCTGCAGAGGGCTAAAAGAACCTGAAATGCTGCAATGGTAACCAGCTTATAGCTAGAAAAATAAAGAACCCACGCAAATTAGCTAAAACGGCCAACAGACAAGCAATTACTGGTGGCCGCCGGTTCCAACGGATTCTAATTCCAGTTTTTCAGCTCACTGAGGAGTAACACATAAGGGAAAATACCAGAGAGGATAACCGAACAAAAGGTCTGATAATGGTATAGATTTACATGCTGTTTCCTGCATATCCCACCTAAGAACAACGATCAGCATGCTTCATCCCAGAAGGAAAATATAAATAATGAAGCCAATTGACAGCCTCATTGTAATTGTGATGAACCTCAATAAATGCTGCAGATTAGAAAACCAAAAACAGCAGGTTCAGGCACTGCCATTCGAGATTCAGCACGTGAGCTGAACGCACTACTTGTGAGATGGATGAATCACATTGGAGATTTTAAGTAACAGAAATGTACTAGGTTGCAGAGATCATTCCAGCTCAGCGGTTTTAAGCAACAGAAATGTACTAGGTTGCAGAGATCATTCCATCCATACAAACTAATTGCTTTTTCTGTCTCCGTAGAAGAAAAGTATCAGAAAACACCAACTCAGCGCGAGCTACTTGGCTAGTTAGAGGAAAGCATGACAGCAAAATAGAAACAAATTATTGAAGGATAAACCCTTGACAAGAGAAAGCAAGTTGGGTGCTCAGTATAATCTGCATGCACCCACTGAACTCTACTGCCCAGGCATAATCACTCACCTACAAAACAAAGCCTAGTTCTAGTAAATCACCCTTCACCACTACATTTTCCAAGAAATTAACTTGGAGCAAAAATAACTAAAAATTAGCAGAAAAAATTGAGTTTATAAAATATGTGTTCTTGACAACGAGAAGGAACGATCAAGAGTGAAATAAGACCATGAAGGACTTATTTTCCAGAGAAATAACTCCACATGCAGAAGGAAGCTGTAGTTGGTGATGTAAGCAGATGGCTTGTCCTGCCTAAGCAAAAGAAAATGGCCTACTTCACATTTGCCCTTTAAGAAACACTTGCCATGACGCCAATCTGTATTAGATACCACTTGCTATCAGTTAAAATATGACAATTCTACATAGCAGCAACGAAAAATATAATCATGCTAACAACACAGCCATTATAATTTCCAGCATAGCATCAAAGGAGCAAAATAACAAAGTTCCACAGCAATATATGAAAATCTCTGATATGAGAAAGTTCTATCAAAAACCGTAAATGGGGCCACATCGAGAAGCCTCTTCATCTCTTTCTACCACCACGCTCTCTCAAAGAGAGAGCCAGCAATTCTCCTGGTCCAACATTGTAATATGCCAGTGACATATTATCCTTGAGAAAACCAGCTTTTCCACTCAATTTCTGTTTGTTTGCAGGAAGTTGGATCTCTCCAGCAATTTTCTCCTTTAGGCTGCCAACAGTTTCAGACAAGGACTGCATTGTAATCTCCAGAACTTGGCCTTTGAGATTTCCTTCATCAATATTGGGAACAGCAACGGTGACACGCACAAGTCCCTGCATAAAAGGCACAATATCAGCTAACATGCAGTCAGATAAAGGAAGAAAGACCACATTGAGATACAGATCAGAAATGATAAATCCAACAGCTGTAGAGTAAGAGGCATAATTTTGATAAAAGAAACGGCCATACCGGATGTTGAGCCAGAAACTGATCTTCAGGAACAAGCGCAGAGTCATCAAGCCTCTGCCTCTTCGGCTCTGGCTCATCTGGAAGTGGAGGAGGAGCATCCTCAGGTGGGGGTGGTGGAGGCATTCCTTGAGGCAACGGAGGTGGTGGAGGCATCATATGCAATCCAGGTTGGGAGACAGGATGAGGGGCAAAAGATCGAGGAACTGCCATGGAATTATATTCCGATCCAGGTGGAGGCGGCACAGGGACACCTGGATTCCCAGACATTGATGGAGGCATAGGGGGGGGTCGATTTACCATAATGTGTTGCTGTCCGGGTGCCATTTGCATTGGAGGGGGGTAATTTGGCTGCATAATTGGAATACTGACTGGTCTTTGCGGATGTACAAGATATGCCCCAGCAGTGGGACCAGAATATTGAACTGTATTTGGAGGTGCACGAGGAAGATTCAACTGCAGTCCTGGTGGTGGAGGGAGGGGACGGACAGTCAGCACACCAGGTCGGGGAGGAGGAGCTGCTGGACCAGGAAGGTTCCTTACATCATTGTTAACAGCTTCATTTTGATCCTCGCCATTAGCATTCTGAGACATAGCTTGGTTTGCAGTGAGCCCAATACTACCAGTGTGTCCATCCCATATGACCTGCTTTGGCTGCTCATCTTTCTTCTTCTCAATTTCAGCCTTCACTGCATTAGAAACTTCTTCCTCTGTGGTGCCAAAGATATCAGGCCTCAAGCGTGCCAGTCCCACTATGTTACGAGAGATCTCATCATCCTGTGCAAGAGTAGTTTCCCGAATCTTGGCAAACATCCTTTCCTTTTGCTCCTTGTACTTGGGGTCAATGAGAGAAATTCTCATGTGCTCGGACATCTCACTAATTGGAATTAGCTCACCAGTGATAGGAGAAACAACAAACTTTGTTGGGTCTCTTTCAGCAGGGATCCTCTCCTCGGGTCTCTTCCAGTTCTTCACAATCCTCATAGGTGGTTCTTGTTCCTCATTTGTTCTTGTGCCCTTCTCACCATCATTCTCTTCAATACTTGCAACCCTCATGCCTTCCTCAACAAGCTGCATCTCTTCTTCGTCCATTTCCATTTCCACCTCCTTTCCAGGCTCAATGATTTCATCTTCATCCATAGCAGATATCTTGCTCCTCCTTATAACTTCCTCAAGTGTCATTGGAGGGGGCAAGTCCTCGTCTTCATCATCTGCAAAGTCTATAGTCTCAACCACAACAAAATCATGCCAATCAATCATTGCCATTTGCATCCGCTCCTGTTCAATCTCATCCTCAGCTTTCTGTCTTGCCTGCTCCTGTGAGCGTTCCCATTCAAGGCGATGCAAGCACCTTTCAAGCACAGTGGTCATGTCATCAACACTCTTTGTCAGCTTCTCAGTCAAACCCCTGGGAGGCATCAAAACTTTAGAATATGCATCAGCAAGTCCAGTAAAAAAGGTAAACATGCTGTGGGTTGGCTTCAAAAAGTGGAACTGAGGATTGTTCATCTCCCTATTCGTCAATCCAGTCAAGAATGCTTGCCCATTTCGAGCTACAAACTGAGCCGTGAGCTTAATAATATCAAGTTCCTCTCCAGTAATTCCTTCTGGAAGCCGAACAGTATACTGCTCAGCTTCTGGGGGTTCAAGAACCTTAGGAGGAGGTAATCTAAACTGGGCTGAAGGATCCGGTTTCGTAGCTGCTTCATTTTCATCAGCAGCTGAATCAGGTTTTGGAGCTGAATCAGGAGCAGCTGAATCCGCAGGCTGTGAAGTAGGCTGCTGTCCAGGAGCTTGATTCTGTGCACGAAATTCTGTCAAACGATGCTGATAATAAGCATGATATGGATCCGATGGATTCAAAAAATTGAACTTGGCATTATTAGCATTGTTTGCAATAATCCTCTTCTCAAACTCAGGTCCATTTTTTGCCACAAATTGCGAGGTCTTATCAACAATACTCCTAATATCAGGTGGAGGATGAATAATTCCAATAGTTCTCGTATGGGTCGCAACTGGTGCTCTGCTCTGCTCCTCACTTGCTGGTCTATCCTCCCTCGGCTGCTGTTCTACCACTTGCGAGGGTGGAGGAGGAGACCCATCTCCATTAACAGGAGGTGCTGGAAGCGGTAAGATTGCTGTGGAAGACATTATTTTCACTCCAAGTCTCAATCAAAAATCCCAAAAACAACCCACATCAAACCAGCTCCTCGCCAAAGAAATCCCCACAAATTCTTTAGTTAAAAATACCTGCAAATAACAACATTGCAATAAATTTTATTTATAAGAACGCAGAGAGCCCGAAAACCCAAAATGATTAATTTATTATTATTTTTAATAAGAACCCACCAGTTTCCCAGTCCAGAAAAAACCCAACCTCAATTAAAACCAGTCACTGAATTCTTCATTCATCTCAAAATGGAAAACCCTAATCACTGAAGAACATGTAACAAAAGAAAATGATTAATTTCTAATCAGACTAAGATGATCTAACCTATATAGATTAATAAATGGAAAGATAACTTACTATGGAGTAGAAAGAATTCAGATTAGGGAATTTCGATCTGCTAGGGTTTTATACAAAAAGAGAGAAAGGCAGAGAGCGTAAGAGAGATCCAGTCAAGATTTTATGATACGGGAAAGATAAAACAAAAAAACCCGACTCGTTTTATATTTTGGTTTCAACCAATTTGTTTTCTTAAACGGGTCGGGTTGATTTTCTTTTCTTTTCCACTCGGGTCCATTATGCATACGGATACCAAAAAAGACCGTTATGAAATTTTTTATTTTTTATTTATTTATTTTGAGATTCTTTCTGCCATTTACTTGGTAAAGTGAAGCTGAAAATATTAAAAATGGGTTCTTATAAATTTTGTGGTGCTCCAAGAGTGTTGCTTATGAAAAATAAATGAAGATAGTTACTGTGTGTGTCATTTTAAGATGAGAGAAGATATAGAGAATTTGATAAATTATTTCTCAGTGTGATACAATAAAATTATTTTTTTGAATAATTTAATATATTTTTTCAGCTTTTTTAATACATCACTCTATTGGAAAAACAATCATTTTAAGCTAATAAATTAAACTATTGAATAAAATTCTAGGATATGATTTATATTATTATCTAATATATTTTATATTTAATTTTTATCAAATAAATAGAAATAGTAAAATTCGAACTCGTGACCATTAAATCATCAAAACTCTAATATCATGTCAAAGAACTATTTTAACCCAATAACTTAAATTGTTAGGTGAGATCCTATAATATGATTTATATTATTCTTTAATAATAAATATGGTGTGACGAATAAGCTTATTTTTATCAATTTTTTTAAATAAAATGATAAATAACATGTTTCTAATTAATGATATCACACTAAAAACATAAACAGTGTTTGAGGTAATAAAACAATTTTCATTTTAGCTCAGTCTTTATAAAACAAAAAAAGAAAAGGAATTGTAATAATTTGCTTTGGGCTATTATAACTAATAATTTAATAAAAAAATCTCAATTATTTATAGTAAAAATAAATTACAAAATTATTGTTTAAACTTGATTAGTTTAAAATGTTAACTTCCGGCCTGATAAATATGATAAGATTTAGTTTGGTTTTTTAAAAAAAAAAATTAAATAAAATTTGTTTCAATCTTTTTTTTTAAGAAATGTTAAAACACTATTATTTTAAATTAACATGTGGAGGGATGAAGTTTTATATATATATATAACAAGTATTATAAGAAACATCAATTAAATTTGATTTGAAATATACAAAAACATTAAATTTATCATGCATTGAGGCAATATTATCATTGTTATATTTCTTTTTAAATAGTTTATACTTATAATTTACATACTTCTTGATTATTTGAAACAAATGGAATGAGTTTTTTTATTTTTAAGTTTTATTTTTTTCTAAACAAGCATGTTGTATATTTCATGCATATTTTTTTAATTCTTCGTAGTATCATATTTTATTTGGAAAGGACCATAGTACCATACTCATGAAATAATGAATTAATGATAAAATCTACAAGGAAACTAAACTGAATCAAAAAACTTTTGGTTTTTAAACAATTTTCTTAATTCTTTTTTATTAATTTGAATTTTTTTTCTCTCAATTTGTTTGGTTGTTTGCTTTTTTTTTATTTTTTTTTATCAATTTGTTTGGTTGTTTGCTTTTTTTTTCTCACCTATGTCTTATAAAAAAAATTAAATGATTTTATTAATTATATTCATTTAAGTCCTTGAAAGATAACTTTACGTTATTCAGCTCCTGCATATAAACTATGGTTTCACAAACAAGTAAATTTTTAAGTCATTCTTATCAGTCCATTGACTAATTTATTCAATATATTTTTTGACTATTAAGTTATTTTATAGTATTTTTCATTCTAAACTATAAACTCTAAGTTTACTTAATATAGTCCATATGTATAGAATAGTGCAAAATAGTGGACAAATTAAACGATTTATATGATTATGTTTCCTTCAAGAATGAAGCTGTAAAATTATTTTATGATTTACAATCATTATTTTCCATTTTTATTCCTTTTAAAGCAGCTTATATAGTTATTATGTTTCCTTCAAGAATGAAGCTGTAAAATTATTTTATGATTTACAATAATTATTTTCCATTTTTCTTCCTTTTAAAGCAGCTTATATAGTTACATGATATTTATATTCTCATTTTGATTAGTGAAACACTTTTTATAAATTTTTTCTAAGAATGTATTCACAGATTTAATAATTAATAATTCATCTAAAGAAAATGAAGGAAAAACTAAAAAAAATGATGTTTTTGAAATTTTTTAAAGACAAAATATCTCATGAAAACTTGAATCAAAATTTCAAAATTTCCTTCTTATTGGAGTAAGTCATTAGTAACTAAAAAAAAAAATGCTATTTACCTAATATGATCTAGAAGAACATAAAAAAATTATCTGAGTGTTATTCTTATTTTAGATTTTACCTGCCTAAATATATACATAACAATATTTAGGTGGCACAAAAGCATAATTACTAGATTTTTTTGCCTTCATCTTTAAGAAAAAAGTTTGAATAAGAGGCGATGTTGAATTTCTTTTATGGTACATTTGTTCTTGCAAAGTGTTTTATAGAAAAATATTTATTTTCTTGAAATTAATTTATTTTTCATTATTTGGATGTAGTAAGAATAATATTTTGTAAAAAAAATAACTTATTTTTTATGATGGTGATAAAATGATAAAAAGTAGTCATATTGGAGATATTAAGGGTGGTGATGGAGAGGGAGGGTGTTTTGATTGGTTGTTGCTGTATTCTTTTTTATCCAATGAATATTTTTCAGTAATTAGTTTACAACGAATTTTTTTATGAGAATTGGAAGTAAAAATCTAATAAAAATCCAAATTTTTTCCCTCGGTAGTGAAATATTCCATTAGTATATTTTTCTCAAAATATTGCAATAATATTAATTGTTGTTAGCAAATAAACTAAAAACATTAGAAAAATAAATCTATCAATAATAAAAATAAAAAAATAATTAAATATAAATTGAAAAGGTAATTTTCAGTATTGATATTAAAGGAATTATATTTTTTTCTATTAATTTCAATGAAAACATAACAAATCATTTAAATAAAAACCTATATTTTCTAAAACACTTCTAAAAACTAAACAAATCCAGCTAAAATAATAAATAAAACCTAACACATCATCATAACACAAGCTTTACATAGAAGAACTACGACAACAACGAAATTAAGAAACATTTATAATCACACCTTTTAAATACATCAAAAAAATAATCACACCTTTCAAACAAAATAATTAACCAGAACAAACAAACACAAACACGCACATACAAAATTATAATATATATGTATTTCATTTTATCACCATTATTCTACAATTATTGGCGGAAAATAAATCATTTTTTACAAAATATTCTTCTTCCTGCATGCATCCAAACGATGAAAAATAAATTAATTTCAAGAAAATAAATATTTTTCTCTGAAACATTTTCCAAGAACAAACTTACCCTAAAAGAAATTCAGTATCTCCTCTTCAAACTTTTTTTTTTAAAAGATGAATGAAAAAAAAATCTAGTAATTATGCTTTTGCGCCACCTAAATGTGATAATAATGTATTTAGTCAGGTAAAATTTAAAGTAAAAATAACATCTTGATGATTTCTTTAGGTAAATAGTATTTTTCTTTTTAGTTACTAATGACTTACTCCAATAAGAAGGAAGTTTCAAAATTAAATTGTTTTAAAAAATTGTGCATGTTGTGCAGGCACTGTGTTTTTCGAGAGTCATGTGTATTACTTGTGCCTTTCTAATCGTGCATGTACTATATTTTTTTAAAGGTAGATATGTGTATTTTGTGCCTCTATTAACGGCACCGCCCTTCACTACCTCCAATCCTAGCCACGCACTCTAGCCAGCCGAGATTATCCTTCCCATATGATTAAAGTGCTGCTAGACTAACCATCTAGGTGGTGGTCAAGTGGTAAGGACTTGGGATCAAGAGGTTTGTTCTCTCTGTAGTCTCAAGTTCGAGTCCTTGGTTGCTCATATGATGGCCACTGGAGGCTTACATGGTCGTTAACTTCAGGGCCCGTGGGATTAGTCGTGGTACGCGCAAGCTGGCCCGGACACCCACATTAATCTAAAAAAAAAAAGTGCTGCTAGACTAGAGTCAATCTAACCATCACATTCTCATAACGTGCCATAAGTAGTTTTTGAGTGTTTTTAGTATTTTGCATTGTAATTGTAATTGTAATTGTAATTTAAAAAAAAAATATTTTAATTAAAATACATGTTTGATTAAAATTATAATTCAATAAAATTATCCTTCCCATATGATTCAAGTGCTGCTAGACTAGAGTCAATCTAACCATCACATTCTCATAACGTGCCATAAGTAGTTTTTGAGTGTTTTTAGTATTTTGCATTGTAATTGTAATTGTAATTGTAATTTTTAAAAAAAATATTTTAATTAAAATACCTGTTTGATTAAAATTATAATTCAATAAAAAGTATGTTGAAAGTATTTGGTTAAAACAATTTTTAAAATTGATTTTGGTAATAAAATGATCTAAAAGGACATGTATTAATTTTTTATTTTTATAATTACATTAATGTATATTTTATTATTAATACATTGTAAAAGCAACCATATGAATTACAACATTGATTTTATTATTCCTTTAAAATTATTGTAATGCCATAATGAACATAATCTACATACAAAGGTTTCTAGTTTCTATGGGGTTGTGAACATAATCAATTAAAAAAATTGCTTTGAACAAAATCGAAATGAGGATTAAATTATGTGAATAATCAGTGAGAATTAAAACATATGCATATTTTTATAATTTACATATACAAAAACTTGGGTCTCATCAAATTTTTAATTTATGCAAAAACTGCCCAGCATTGATTTTTTTTATTAGTTCAAGGTGAGGTTATTTTGGTCTCGTGGATAGCAAATTTAACGATAATAAAATGCAACTCAATGAAAAGCAAAGGAGAAGCGTAGCAAAAGCATATGGAAGTAGCTTCTTAAAAACTGAGTTCAAAACTCATTTATTGGTAGGGTCCAAGAATAAAAATTATGTTTCATTTTGTAACCAAATCAGATAAAATTATGGTTAAATAGAAAAG